CATACCATTAAAATCGGCAAAGAAAATCAAATAGCCGAAATAAAAAGACGCATACAACTGTCTTTGGGGGCTTTCGGCAAATTAAGCTTTATTTTGAAGAATTAAGATATACCAATGTGTCTAAAACGTAGAGTTTATGACAAATGTATCTTGCCTGTAACTACATATGGACTGGAGACCATGGCCTTCACAAAGAAAACCTTAGAGCAGCTCAGTACAACCCAAAGAGCAATGGAGAGGGCCATGGTAGGGATTAGTTTGAGAGACAGGATTCGAAATAACGTCATTCGTGAAAGAACAAAAATTACTGATGTCTCAGAACGTATTGCAAGGCTCAAGTGGCAATGAGTCGGACACGTTGTTCAAGATAATCCCGAAAAATGGACACAAAGATTAACAAACTAGAGACCAAGAGAGAACAGGCGAGGAGTAGGCAGACCGCAGAAGAGGTGGACAGACGATATCGAACAAGTCGCGGGCAAGCAGTGGATGAGAATTGCCAAAAGTAGAAATCGATGAAAGCAAATGGAAGAGGCCTATGTCCAGCAGTGGACGAACACAGGCTGAAGAAGAAGAAGAATTAAGAAGCATTCTACAAAGATCTTGCTGATGCTGTAAGTCTACATAGTAAGCAGTTTGAATATTGTGGGGAATTATGGCTTGGGAAACAAAAATGAACGTGGAGATCGACTTTCGCGGTTTTATTATATTGAATATTCACTTCAAATTACTACCAAGTTACACCTGAAAATAAAATGCAGGATCAGAAAATAAAATTATTAGTAATCAAATAAACTTCATTCTAATAGAAAATTGATTTAGAAATTAAAACAAATTAGCTAAAATTTATCCAGATGCTGAAATTGGGTCTTATCACAACCCCATACTAGCTGTAAACTATCCCCCAAAATAACACCCAATTAAAATTTAAAAAGGTGATCAATAAAAAGTCTCGTATAATATTGATATAACCAAACTACAAGACAAACAATTTAAGGAAGGTGAACAAAAATATATGTTAGTTTGGGAAAAATATTGGTGAAAATATTAATAAGGGCTTAAACAAAGAAAATTAGAACAAAAGTTAAGAAAATCTGTAAAAGTAACTCAAGTAAGAAAATCTGTGAAAAGTATACAACAAGAAATTCGAAGTAAAATACGAGAAGAAATGAGTCAATATCTAACCAAACAGTGACAAACAGCTGTCTCCCTGGTTATTGTTAGCTGTTGCTCTGGAAACCATCGGGGTCTTCTAACTCTTAATGCCACCGATTGGTCGCATTGTCTCCGCTGGCGATCCTTTTTCGAGTTAACATGCTCTTTTTCCAACTTGGCTGACAAAAATTGGAGAAAAAGGACAAAGATGATGGCTACTTCATCTATTTATTGAGAACGTTTCGCTATCCAATTTGATGGCATCATCAGTTCATCTAAAAAGAACAATATGAAAAACCTAACATCCAATGAAAAGTTATTAAGTATGTTACCTCAAAAAGATATGTAGCAGTCAGTGATATTAACAATTGTAAAGAAGCTTACGACAATGGACATTGTATAATTATGTTGTATAAACAATAAATTGAACTAAATATAGTTAACAATTTTCATAAAATTAGCACAGCAAAAAAACATGTGGTAGTTGTACATGTATGTAAAAAAAATATAGGTAAAAACTTATCATATATAAAAAACAAAATTAGTGTGAAAAAGAACTAAAAGGTCCAAGAATGCACTTCCAACAGTAATTCAATAATTAAGATTTCATTTTAACTTTAGGTAGCATTATTCTAATGTTTAATTAAAAAATTAGTAATTTAAAAGTAATAATGAAGTTACCACTGAGAGATTGTCGAGTGCTGCCGGTCAATGAAGGCAACAGGTGTTAAACGTCAACAATTCAACAATTTAAGTGTCATCCATTAATTCACCTTATATTAATATTTCAAAATTTTTAACGGACATCTTGTCTAAATCTTATAATTATAACAACAACTTTAATACTGTTGATTCTTTGCACTTTAGTGAATTTATTAATAACTTTGAAATTCCTCAAGGTTACATTTTAGTGAGTTTTGATGTGGTATCTCTTTTCACTAATTTACCTCTTTCCAGTGTTATAACCTCCTTAAGAAACCATTGGAATTACGTCCAACCTAACTGTCCTGTTTCCTGGGATGTATTTGCAGAATTGTTGCAATTAGTATTTGACACTAATTTTTTGGTCTTTAATGACAAATATTATCTTCAAATTTTTGGCATACCTATGGGTTCCTCTATCTCTCCCATCCTAGTTAATTTTATACTAGATGATTTAGTATCTGACCGTTTGGGTCTTTTAGATTTCCGAATCCCTTTTATTAAGCGGTATGTGGATGATTTATTATTAGCCTTACCTCCTGATAAGATAAAGGCCACCTTATCCTTGTTTAATGAATTTGATCCTCATTTACAGTTTACTGTTGAACTTGAGGACCCCCTCACAAACAGCATTCCCTTTCTAGACATGCGTGTCATTAGAATGGAAAATAAAACCTTAACCACAAGTTGGTATAGAAAATCTATGGCCTCTAATAGGTTCCTTAATTACCATTCCTGCCATCCTTTTAAATATAAATTAAACTTAATTAAAGCTTTAAGCTGCAGGCTGAATAGATTGACACATCCGGTTAATCGAAGGAAATCCCTTCAATAACTTAGAAATATTCTCATTGAGAATTCTTATCCTTCTTCTCTCATTAACAAATACCTTTTTATACAAAGCTATGGTTCCTCTTTAAATGACATACCCAATGGTGACCAACTTAGAATGGTATCAAATAATTCTTTTAATGACACTGTTCTGCCTGGTACTGCACTTGGGACTCCTACCACCCACTACTCATCTTTACCTTACTTTCCTCACGTTACTGACAAACTTATTAAACTGTATAAATAGAAGAACATTACTGTTAAAATTGCGGTTAAGAATGCCAAGACTGTCAGAAATTTGTTTTCAAAAACCAAAACACCCTTGTCCCCTCTGGAACATCGGTCAGACTGGGAGATCACTGAGAGGGCGTCTTACTACACACCGCAGTGATATCAACTTATCTATGCATACTTGTGCCCTTGCACAGCATGCTATCAACACTAAACACAGAGTAGATTTTACTGAAGTTAAGATTCTTGGTTCTGAACGTAATCTCGTTAAAAGACAGTTTTTAGAAATGTGTCATATACTTAAACACCCCAATAATCTTAATAAGAGAACTGACATTAGTAACTTGAGCCAAATTTATCATGCTCTAATATTGCAGAATTAGGCTTACTATGTTATTTACTTTAAAAATTGTCACCTAAGGTGTTTTCTTTACATAATTTCTTTTTAAATAATTTTCAAATATAAATTAAAATAAATGAAATAATAAACTCTTACTTTCAATTATCTTAGATTTATGCAACCTATATTTCATGACTTCATGATTTCATGTCAACGTTGCTTTTGTACAATTGTATTAATTGTTTCCATACAAATAGTTTAATACAACTTTATTATTATAAATTGATTCATAGAATCTTATTAAATTCAGTTCCAAATGTGATGAACCTTGGACTGTTGGAAGTTTTGAGCATCATTCCCCTGTGGCTGGCTAATCAGTCACACCGTAGACTATTAACATACGATTTTTGGATTGACTTATCTTGTTTGTTCTTTATTTTATCTCAACCGATCACTGGAGGGAAAAAAGGAGTTCTCAACCACATTTTCCTTTCAGTTTTTTGGTTTCTACCGACAGTTTGGCGACCAAATTTTGTCATATTTTCTAAATAAACTGCTCTACTGTACTGGAGTTGGTAGTAATACGCCTTGTTGTTCTGTCACTCGTTGACCTCTTGGCATCTGTCTTTTCACGTTGTTGACGTTTAACACCTGTTGCCTTCATTTCACCGGCAGCACTCGACAAGCTCTCAGTGGTAACTTCATTATTACTTTTCAATTACTAAATTTTTAATTAAACATTAGAATAATGCTACCTAAAGTTAAAATAAAATCTTAATTATTGAATTACTGTTGGAAGTGCATTCTTGGACCTTTTAGTTCTTTTCCGCACTAATTTTGTTTTTTATATATGATAAGTTTTTACCTATATTTTTTTTACATACATGTACAACTACCACATGTTTTTTTGCTGTGCTAATTTTATGAAAATTGTTAACTATATTTAGTTCGATTTATTGTTTATACAATATACAATTGTTAATATCACTGACTGCTACATATCTTTTTGAGGTAACATACTTAATAACTTTTCATTGGATGTTAGGTTTTTCATATTGTTCTTTTTAGATGAACTGATGATGCTATCAAATTGGATAGCGAAACTTTTTTAATAAATAAATAGGTGAAGTAAATAAATAGATGAAGTAGCCATTTGAATATATATATATATATATATAATATATATATATATATAACTTGATATATATATATAATTGATATATATATATATATATATATATATATATATATATATACATATATATACATATATATATATATATATATATTATATATATATATATTATATATATGTATATATATATATAATATATATATATATATATATATATATATATGTATATATAGTTTCCTTGTTGTTGCCTGTAATAGCTGATATTTTCATGGAACATTTCGAAACAGTAGCCCTGTCCTCATCAAATCTCAAACCCACCTGCTAATTACGGTATGTATGTTACCAAATGACACTTTTGTCATTTCTCGTTTCATAAGACTTAGGGACAACAATCATAGGTATCCGAAATCAATTCAATAAAGCAAACACTCTTACAAAACAGCTACTACAAAACCCAAATCAATAAGAGCGTTCAAAAACATCTAAACCCCATTCCATCCAATTCATTGTGTGATCGTTTTGATTAACGTGCACGGATAAACTACATATATATGGTACAAGCAAAGATTTATCTAAGGAATTTAATATGACGGCTATTAGATTGAAATGGTATGTAAAAAATCTTGGAAAAAAACAATTAAAAAACAAACATTTGTTTAAGGAATGAGTAACAATCACATTATCACAAGACACTTTAAAAATCCTTATATTATTATATCAGAAACTTTAAAAGCTTCACTGCTAGGTACAACGTAAAACGTTTATTACAGAAAGTTTTTTTAGGTAAAAGAAAAAATGATAGGGCATTTAATTGGCGGCATTAAAGTATATATTCCGTGATACAAGTGGAAGTTGACAATGACCTAAAGTGACAGTTAGTTTTGTGTTTATTTATATCTGAACTCCACCTTTATTAATATTAAAAAAATTTCTATAGCAGAAACAACAGAAAACCATAACTTTAACATTTCTTCATCAGAATCTACATTATTTCGATGATGCTTCGTTTTTTTTGTTAAACTTTTTATCTAAAAACAGGAAATGTGAGTAAACCTCACTTAAGTGGCTAATGTCAGATTTCTTGTTCATTGTGTTTTCTGTTTCAGAGATAAAAGCTATCTCAAGAAATAATTTTTTTAAATAAATATTGTTAATTGGTAATACCTTGGCTTCTATGGAATTCATTGTGTGATCCTTTTGGTTAACGTGCACGGATAAACTACATCTATCGGGATATATCTTCGAATCACTCTTGTGGGAGGTGATAGGATCCTTTAAACGCCTTGAAGAATGGCCAATGTATTGTAAATTACAATTTGCATACGAAATACTGTAGACTATGTAAAACATATTATGTTTTAATGTGTCATCCTTGAGTTTAGAGAAGACTAAATTTATTGTTAAAACTGTTTTATTAGCAAACTTAAAGTCACCAACAGAATTGAATATTCGTGTAAATTTCGGTATGAAATTTTGTATGTATGGTAGTATGTAAATTTTTGTTGTAGGTGTGATAACTGTAGGGTCACTTTCCTGATACACAGCAGCAGTGTTAATGGAGGAATGATTTTGTGTAGTGTTATATGTTTCAGACGGTGTGCTAAACAAAATTTTCTTTAAAAGTACTGGTGGATAATTGTTCTCTAGGAACAGTTGGTGTAGGATTAAAATATATAGTTTTGAAGTGTCCTATGATAATGTTTTTGTTATTCATTCCTTAAACAAATGTTTGTTTTTTAAAAAATAAATTGTAACTCCACTTAATATAGTGATATGTTCTTTTTTCGAATATTTTTTACATAAAGTTTCATTCTAATGGCCTCTTCCTCAGTCCTAATCCCTTTTGGGATGTGGTGACACCATCAGGCCTTTACAGTTTTTTCACGATTTCCCTCCATCCTTCTCTGTCCTGGGCTAGTTGTTCGGCCTTATGCAACCCTTGGTGAATCAATGTTTTTATTTGATCTACCCAACGGCTTGGAGATCTTCCCCTAGGTCTTTTTCCTTTAACTCTACCCTCGACTATCAGTTTTTTCATCGTACCTGTTCTTCTAGAAATGTGTCCAAAATACTGAAAATATCTCTTTTGTTTGTTTAAGCAATCTATCCTTTACTTTAAGTTGTTCTAATATTCTATACGTTAGTGCGATGATCAATCCAGTATATTCTCAACATGCGGCGGTATACCCACATTTCAAAAGCGTCCAGTTTATTTTTATTCTCTTTCTTTAAGGTCCACGTTTCGGATGCATATGTGGCTATAGGAAAAATGAGCGCCCTTACCAGCTATAGTTTTGTGTGTATTGTTATGCTAGAATTTTTCCAAATTGCTACCAGTTTCGTCATAGCTGTTCTAACAATAGTAACCTTCTACGCATTTCTCTGTCACACCCTTTGTCATTTGTTATTAGGGACCCCAGGTATATGAAAGTGTTTACTACTTTTCAGCCCCCAATTTCTTTAATGTGTTGAATATTATTCCGAGCTCTGTCTACTATCATGCTCTTTGTCTTACTCTTATTTATCTTTAGTCTATATGTTTTGCTTTTTTTATCCAAACATCTCACTATGTCTTCCATTTCTTCTAGATTTGCCGCAATTATTAAAGTGTCATCAGCATATCTCAAGTTATTGATTTTTTGACCTCCTACTGATATTCCGCCCTTCCATCTGTCTAGTACCTTTCGCATAATGTGTTCGCTGTAGATGTTAAACAGAGTTGGCGAGATTATGTATCCCTACCTAACACCTGCCTCTGTTTTGAAATGATCGGAATGGGTGTTGTTTATTTTTACTGTACACCTGTTATTTTCATATAAATTTCTAATTAGTTGAATTAAGTGGTGGGATGTTCCCATTTCCGCTAGTATGGCCATTTGACTGTATCGAAGGCGTTTGTGTAATCCACAAAGCACATAGGAGTATTTAATTTACGAGTTTTTTCGATTAGCTGTCTAACATTAAAAATGTGTTCTCTTGTGCCTTTTCCTGGAATAAATCCCGCTTGTTCTTTTGATATCTGAGGCAATAAAAAAGCTTTTAACCTTTCATGTATTACATAAAGTAGAACCTACCTTGCAAGGGATATTAGGGTTACCGTTCTGTAGTTGCTGCAAACTTGCGGAGTTCCTTTTTTGAATATAGGGATGAAAGTGGATGTTGTCCAGTCGTTGGGCCACTCTCCGGTTTTCCAAATCTTTTTGCAGTTCATATGCACAACATTTACTCCAACATCTCCAGTCTCTTTTAAACTTCTGCGGTGATCTCGTCTGCGCCAAGAGATTTTCTATTTTTCAACTTATTAATTGCTTTTTCTACCTCTGACTTTAGAATTTTTGGTTCTCTCTCTGCAGTGAACTCATCGTGATTTGCATTCTGGGGATCATCTGCATATAGACTTTGACAATATTTTCGCCATACTTCCGCAATCCCTTTCTCGTCATTAATAATATGTTGGTTTTGATCCAATATTGTTTGTGTGATTGGTTTGCATGCTTTATCATCCCTACATGCTCTTTTAATTTCTCTATTTAAGCTTGCTAATTCGTTTTTGTTGTTGTCGTTTTAATATATGAGAGATTTTATTCTCCTTCGCTCTTCGAGAAGTTGCAGCGTTCTGTCTGTCATCCAGTGTTTTTTTTTTATAATTTTTTTTTTCGGTTCTGATTCTTTCTACAGAGGTTTCTACGGCATTTTTAAAACCTTTCCATATTTCTTTTGGGTTGTCTTGTGTGTTTAATATACTAGTTTCCTTTAATGCATCTCTAAATGTTTTCGGATTTGAAATCTCTAGCCTGTTTTGATTTTGGTGCGGCATTGTTCTTTTTAGCTTCATCTTGAAGCAAGCCCATAACAATTTATGATCGGATCCACATTCAGCTCTTGGTACAGTTTTTACGTTTGCAACACATGTCTTTTATCTGTTTCTAATCAATATATAGTCGATTTGGTTCTTGTATTGTCCATTTGGGCTGGTCCACGTCAATAAACGACGGTCATGATGTTTGAACATTGTGTTTACAATGGCCAAACGTTTTCGGTTGCAAAATCTATTAAACGTTTACCTCGTCTGTTTCTAACACCTAACCCATAGTTTCCTACATTTTGGATGTTATCATTTCTTGTTTCTCCTACCTTAGGGTTAAAATAGCCTATGATTATGAGTGGTTCTTTAGATCGAATATTTCTTATTGTGTCTTTAATAACGAAGTATACGTCTTCCACTTCATTGTCTAACGCATCTGAGGTTGGCATGTACAGATGAACATTGAGCACTGAAGAATGTGCATTTTTTTTTGGTAATGCTACTAAGTTTATTTTTATAAGTCTATCATTTATTGGTACCCATACCAAAATTTATTTACTTACTGAAAAAAAAATACTCTTGGCTTTTAACAACATATCTACTAGCTACTATATACTTTACAGTGTGTAAAAGCCAAATGGAATAAATTCATTATTTAGGTTACTGTACATATTTATAAAAAATCCCGAAACACGTTAAATTTAAATTATAACTTGACATTCTTTAACGTGAAAATGCAACCCCTACCTTCAACCCCCTTAGAATGACAGGTACAACCAAGGTACTGCCGGACATTAAGCTGGTAATGTAGTGGTGCTGCATCCTGCTGAAACCATATAGTATTCGCTGGAACTTGAGGGTTTCCTGGATCAGGATATAAATTTGCCAACGTTGGAATGACGTATCATTCTGAAGTAGTGCCAAATAATTGTTGCCATTCAAGTTGCCCTTACTAAAAAAGGGACAAATAATATTGTTTCCTACAGTCCTGCCCAAACATTAAGCTTTTGAGGATATTGAGTGTGTTCTTCTCTCATCCAGTGAAGATATTCCGTGGCCCAGTAGCGGCAATTTTGCCGATTAGCATGACCGGTAAATGAAAAAGTACACTCATCAGAAAACATAACGTCTTCTAATTGGATAATATTGTTATCCAACATGTCCATCATTTGCTCACAAAAAAAGTTCTATCAAAATCGTCTTCCATGAGCTCCTGGTATCATCTTATAGAAATGCAATTTATTTTCTTTTAATATGTTTACTATCGATGTATGGCTAGCATTGAATGTAGTGGATGTCTGTCTACTCGATGTATCTGAATTTTCCTAAAACTCAAGCAACACATCTAATTTGAGTTCATCACTCAGTGCATTGGCAGCTGCTTCTTTATCTGCCTTACATGGCCAAACTCGCGAAACTGCTTCTCTATTTTACTTATTGTTCCTTGGGATATAGGCGGTAAATTAGGGAATTTTTCATGAAATAGGCGAGTTACTTCCTCTTGTGTTCGGGTGTTATCTCCGTAACCAATCATTTGTAAAACTGTTATTTTATGCATTTCCGTTAATCTTGAGTTGAACAAACTTTTTACTTAAATGTATAAACTGACAACTTAAATAAAATAATTTACTAATGCGTGTTAAAATAATGTTGCCACTGAAATTCTTTAAAGTTGTTTAATGGTTACCATCTAAAAACCACATTGCTATGATTTTGTTCACTTTCTCATTATCAAGACTTAAACGGGAAATAAGTTTTGAGTATATTTTAGCAAATTTCGGTAATCACATGATAATAAATACAACATTTTTGAATGGAAAATGAAACGACCTTTCAAACGATATATCACAATCCTAAACTTCCTATTTTAAAAATTGGGAGTTGTACCTGTCATTCTAAGGGGGTTGAAGGTAGGAGTTGCATTTTTACGTTAAAGAATGTCAAGTTATAATTTAAATTTGACGTGTTTCGGGATTTTTTATAAATATATACAGTAACCTAAATAATAAATTTATTCCATTTGGCTTTTACACACTGTATATCTCCAACAATATATCTCTTAAAGCTAACACTGTTTGATAGTAAACATGTGAACAAAGTTTAAGCTATATTGACTTACTCCTGTGTGTTTGAATTAAACAATTTCAATATTTTTAAAGCGTATACCCTATATATTTCTCTCTGTACTTTTTATTGGTTTATTTCCGATTTGTTCTCAAATTCTTCTAATTTTGTGAAAAAAAGTTGTTAGTAAACCGATTTTAAAGCAAAACATTTATTATTTTTATATTTATCATCTCTAAATTACTAGTTTTACGCAACTTGAGTTAAATTAACGTTTTTATTTACAGAAACCACCTTTAAAGAGAGAAGATTCATTTTTACAACGCTTTTCCACTAGGCAGATACCAGAGACGCAAGAAACTGTAGAGGACACCGGCAGCGAAGGAGGTAAAGCAAGTATCTTATTACTTAGAAATGCATATAATTCATATATTTTTTCTTTACGTAATATTATGTTTATTTTTTACAATTTTGATACGCTTGCTTTTTTCTTCTTGTAGCTTTTTTAATTAATTTGATTATTTAATCATGTTTTACCAAATTCTTATACAACATGTAAAATATATATTAGGAAAATATACAATGTACACTGCCAGCGGTACGTTTTCCACTTAAAGAATAAAAGTTTTAGAAGTCCTACTTCTTATAATTAAAATGAAACAATTGAATCCATTATATAATTTTATGTATTTTCTTTTACATATTTATTATTTGTTCAAATATATAGGTTATTATTATTTTTTTTCACCATTTCTTCTAAACTATTCGCCGTTTCATTACAGAGCACTATAAGAAACAATAATTCGCATGATGATACACACAATAAGCTATGCTTAGCACTACCAATAATAAATAGGGATAGGGGTAGATCAAAATCATATCATGATCAATATCATATAATAAATTTAGATCCAAAGCATTTCTTATAAAGTATCTACTTCTTTTATAAAATATAAAACTAAGGGTAATAAAAATATAATTTACTAATTGTTTTAACGAAATATTTTGCCTACCACATGGGGTATTAGTATAAGGGGTAGAAAATTGGGGACTGAAACTAAGGGGGTGGAGATAAGGCAAGCAAAATAATTGCTACTTGTGCGAACGGCACTCAGGGTTTGTTAGGAGAGCTGGGGTCGTGGATAAGTAAATGTCAAATGAGTTTGGATTGAGGCAACTACAAAAAATGAAATAAAGGGGTCATTAATATCTTGGAACAAACAAAATAAAAATAAACAGGAAACACCTCTAGTAATTTAATATAGGGCACCACTTTGAGGTGCCTCTTGAGCACCTCTGATAACTTGGGATACTATTCGAAAAGAAAAAAAAGGAGTAATTTAAAAAAATAGACAAAATGTTAAGAAACAAAATTTAACATTTATTTTCGTGTCATACCACAAACAGTTACAGACAAATACAGACAGCACAAAAAATGCTATATTAGTTAGAGAGATTCTTACCAAAATAATAAAGAAAACTTACATGTGTTCTACTGATTTACAAACTCAGGAGATGCTACAAAATCTTACAAATGTTACTGACGTATAAACTGTGGCAAATATAAAAATTATTACAAATAAAAAAAATATCTTATTAAACAATGAAAGCAATTATTAATTTTTTTAAATGTCTATCTTAAATAATAATAAAAATAAAAATAAAAATAAAAACATTTATTGCCATACTATTATGAATTAGATGTCAAAATTGATATTTTAGCCTTCTTTCTTCTGCGTTCCGCTCTTGCACCGCCAGCATTTGAATGTTCTTCCTCTCGGTTCCTGGATTTTCCTGAGTGGTGTCCTCGTCTGCTTCAGTAGGTACTGTATTGGCAAACGTACCTACTTCCCTGCATGCCTGGATTCTAGTCGCTGTTCATGTAATCAATCAGTCGATGTGTTTCTCGGTGTATCCTCAAGATCCTGTTCTTCTCGAGGATATCCCTGGTTTTTCGTAGTCTTCTAGTGGCCTGGTTGAAGAACCACCTGGTTCTGTTCTCAGCTACCTCCCTCAGTGGCGTGTACCCTAGTCTATTTCTGATGGTGGCATTGGTAACTCTATCCTCCCATGATGTTCCGTCGATGATTCGGTAGCATGAGGTCTCAGTTGCTTCTAACTTTCTCCAGTTGGATTCCGCAATGGAGCTCCAGACTGGTACAGCATACAGAATCACCGACCTAACATATGCTTGGTAGAGTTGTATCTTCATCGCCTTTGACAGTGGACTGGACCTCCTAAAAATAAAAGGAAGTATCAGTTTTTTAGCAGCATTTGCTTTTACCTTTGTTTTTTGTGTATGCAACCGGAGGTTGAGTTCTGTCGAGATGGACACCTAAGTATTTGACCGTCTCTGCTTCCTGAATTCTGTTGCCTCCTACTGTGATCTCGTTCTGTGGTGGTCGTTTTTCCTGGGTGAATATGATGAACTGCGTCTTTTCTGCGTTGATTTTGATTTTCCATTTTTCCGTGAAGTCCGTGATTTTTTCTAAGTGGTACTCCATGTCATCTATGATTCTTCTTTCTTTTTTTCCGGATGCATACACTACTGTGTCAACTGCATACAGGGCTGTGGAAGTCCTAGGATCTGTTGGAAGATCTGCAACAAAAATGTTATATATTATAGGTGATAAAATGCTGCCCTGAGGAATTCCTTCCTGGAATTGTTGGATCGTTGACATCTTTTGGTCAGTTGAAACTTGAAAAGTTCTATTAGATAAATAAATATCACAAATATTAATTAAATAGTGCGGAAGTCTAGCCTTGTCAATCTTGTAGATTAATGCCTTCTTCCAAACCGTGTCGTATGCTTTTTCTATGTCCAGTATGGCTAATCCTGTCTTTTGTTTTCTGTTGAATTTTATCTTCGCTTCGCTGATTATTCTGACCGATATTATGTCCTATATAGAAACAACAGGGGAGAGACCTATTAGAAAACCAAAAAAGCGATGGGAAGTTGATGTTTGTGAGAACGCCAGAAATTTGCTTGGCAATCGATCGTGGAGCAGAATGGCTGCAGACTATAAAGAATGAAGAGGTTTGCTGAGAGAAGCTAGGGCTGGAATTGTGTAGTAGAGTCATAGGATGGCAATTTATTTATATTTTTTAAGTTCTTCTGGAAGCTGGATTAAGGCCAATATCCGCGGTAATGTTATTCGTATAAATGTTCAACGAACTTCTTATTAAAGATTAAACAAAAATAGGGATCATTACAATCATCACTCTAGACAATATAAATGAGCTAAATTTTCTTTTATTCTATTCCCCAATCATATTTTGTTACATGTTTATCAAAGAACGAAAATTTGTAACTGACTGCATTTGTAATTAGATGCAAAGTTAAACAAGTTGTTGTTTCTTATTTAATTAAATATAAACTAAATTTTGGTTGTTTATTTCAGATAATCATTCAGCTCCACGTCGACGAAGGAGACACCGAAAACAACCGAGGACCGTCGTTAATCCCGATTCGAACTTTTATTTTTATTGGTTACTAGTTTTAACAGTGTGTGTTTTGTACAATCTTTGGACGTTAATAGTGCGTGAAAGTTTTCCTGAACTTCAGGTAAGTTGTTTCAAAGTTGTATAGCATAAGGTTACTTTTATATATTACCAAAGTGATGGAATTTGATGGAAAATAAAATACGTTTTCAAGATTTAAAGATTATATAAAGATTTTACTTATATACAGGGTTGGCTCCTAAAAAAGAGTTTACCTTGATGTTTGTCATAATTTATTGGATTTTGTGAAACTTATAAAACAGCTTAGTTTTTATTCCAAAGGGGACATCTTTTATCGATACAAATATCTCACTTTTTAATTTCCTCCTTTCTAGTATTACAAACCTTAAGTTTTAAATGAGAAATGTACCCTGTGGGACATATCTTGCATCATTAGAAAGATACTTCGATAAATAATTTGGACCTCCATGGATTTTTTTTCATAAAAGCTCTATTCTTATGAAAAATAATAAGTTCATTGAAAGTACTACACCTCTTTAGAATTAAACTTAACGCATGTGTTTTGCTAGTGTCAGTTTCAATTTTTTCCTGTCACGTCAGAACTGCTTTAAAACGAATTTTGCATCATTAATCTTCGGGTAGTGGCGCTATAGCTTCTTACAAGTTTAGTTGCCCCCATGTCATAGACCAGGTGGGTCAAAAAATACGATTTTTCTGTTGGAGAAGTCCCAATTTGTCAGCTAGTTCTTGGTGGATAATCTTTCCTACTGAGTCATGGCGTTCTTTATAATCGGTACCGACAAATGCCTGGCAGCCACCGGTAAGATGTTGGATGGTTTCTTGGGCTTGGCATCCATATCGGCATTTGTCATTTTGGACTTAAGGATCTTTAACAATATATTTTAGGTAATTTTTAATTGGAATTACCTGATCCTGAATGGCAAGTAGGAAACCCTCAGTCTCGGGAAACATCTTTCCTGATGTCAACCAATAGTTCGACGATGTAATGTCGACATATTCTTGGCTGATCTCATTGAAATGTTGCCCATGCAGAGGTTTACTCATCCAGGTGCACATTTTTTCTTGCTTAGCATTTCTTGTTCCCTAAGTTTAAGCGGCGTTGTGTCATCTACTGCGCAAATTGCTCGATGTAAAGTAGATGTCTCAGCCTGTACCTGAAAATAAGTTCTTAAATTAGCAATTTGTTTATTTAATTGCTCACCTATATCCATAAGTCCTCTTCCTCCTTGATACCGCGGCAATGTTGTTCTCTCTACTGCACTGCGTGGATGATGTTTTTGCGTCTTTTTTAGAAGTGTTCTTACTTTCCGCTGAAGACCCTCTATATCCATTTTTGGCCACTTTATAATACCAAATGAGTAGCTCAGCGCAGAACAGGCGTACGTATTTAATGCCTTAAACAAATTTTTACTATTAAGATATGACCGATTTAGTTGTCTTACTCTTCGCACGAACTCCGAAGTTAGTTCAGTTTTCATCTGTTTATGGTCAATTTTCCGCGCCTGTTTTACTCCGAGATATTTGTTAATATCATTTTCACCCATTGCCTCGATGTTTTGACCATCTTGCATATCGAAACCTCCGGGCTAAACCTTTCCTCTGACTATATTTAGTATACGGCACTTGTCTAGTCCAAAATGCATACTGATATCATTTGAGAAAGTTTCTACAGTTTTTAGCATCTAGGTGGTTTCGAGTGGAAGCTTAATATAATATAATAATAATTTTATTCAGATTATTTATATAATAAATAAAAATTTCAGATAAATTTAAAATAATAAACAATATTTTAAATTTAAATTCTGACAGATTAACTGCAATTTCTTTAAGTTTAACGACTTGGTCAACATATCAGCCACCATTCCATTCGTCGACATATATTTTAATTGGATATCATTGTAAGCTACTTTTTCACGAACAAAATGATACTTGACATGAATATATTTCGTTTTCTTATGCTATACTTGATTTTCGGATCACTTTATGGCATTTTGGTTATCATTAAATATAACTATTGGAAAACCTTCAAACAAAAACTTACAATTTACATTGTTTTCAAATATTTCTTTACATAAATATGTTAAGTATAACGATTCTTTTGCTGCCTCAGTCATGCCAATACATTCAGCTTCAGTTGAACTTACAGCCAAATTTCTTTGCTTTTCACATTTCCATGAGATACCAGCTGTTTAAAAAATTAAATCCATAAAATGACTCTCTATCTGAACTGTTATTGGCCAATCTGAGTCGACAAAGCCACTTAAACTAACATTTGACTTTCTGTAATTATTTCCTACAGTTCTTGTTCCTTTTAGGTATCTCAAAACATGTTTGGCTGCTAACCAATGTTCTTTTGTATGAATGTTATTAAACTGATTAAAATACGTGAAAGAGAAAGCTATGTCAGGCCTTGAACATCATTGAACCAATCAATTTTTGATAAGGACATTCATACAAAATTCCTTTATTAGAAAGCTTAACATTCGGTTCTAAAGGAGTATTTACAATGCTACAATTAGTCATTTCAAATCGTTCAAGTATTTTATCAATATACTGTTCTTGACTTAATTTCAATTCAAACTCTGGCCCCTTCTCTCTATCTTTATACCCAAACAAAGTGTAATTGGATAAAAATCCTTAATATGAAAAAGTTTTTATGTAATTCATTTTTCAAAACTTTAACCTCATCATGATTATTGCAATAAACAAGAAAATCATCTACATAGAGTGCTACAATAAGAATTGAATTCTCACTATTTTTAACAAAAATACATGGTTCAATTTCACATTGTTTAAAATTCAACTTTAACAAAATTTGGTATGCCCTTTTATTCCACAGTCTCGAAGACTGTTTGAGACCATATATAGCTCTCCTAAGCAGATAAACTTTATTTTCCAAGTCTGGTTCATCAAAACCTTCAGGTTGAGCCATATATATGGTTTCATCAATCTCGCCATTCAGGAATGCAGTCTCCACGTCTAAATGAACTGTATCTAGATTTAATTTAACAGCCATCGCTAACACAACCTAAAATTACTAAAACGAATAACTAGAGAATACGTTTCTGAATAGTCAACCCCATATTTCTGTGTTAAACATTTTGCCACCCATCTTGCCATGTACCTTACTATTTCACCCTTTTCATTTTTCTTTATTTTAAATACCCATTTATTCTGAACAATATTTGTATTTGCAGGTTTATCAACCAATTCCCAAGTATTATTTATTCTGAGAGCTGTCATTTCATTCTGAATGGCGAATTTACATTCATGGCTGTGACTAGTTGACAGTGCCTAAGCAAGACTATCATTATTTCTTCCTTCTCTATTCACTTTTTAATTTTCACTCGCATTTTCTTCTACACTTTTTATATTCTCAGATTCTACAATCTCACCGATACCACTTTTTACTACTTCGGAGTTTTCATTCACACTAAAACATTTCGACTGATGTTGGTTCACTGATTTGGCTTTAACTTCACCAATTCGCAAATTGCATATAACCTCAGGTTTAAACCGTACGTCGTGGCTCGATACGATTCTTCTTTCAGATGGAATACATATTCTAAAACCATCACTGTCATTCACATAACCAACTAAATAACCATGTGTCGTCTTGTCATTCAATTTACTGACTTTTACTTTCAATTGATGACTTTCCTCTGCGATTCAGAATGTACACTGCAGTATTGCATGATTCTGCCCACAATTGTTTGGACAACTTAGATGTGTTTAACATGGAACGTGCACAATGGTGCGGTTTTCCCTTTTAGCAACACCATTCTGTTGAAGGGTGGAGTGATACAATACTCTATACCTCTCTTCGCAAGAAGTTCAGATACCTTTCTATTGTCAAACTCTCTCCCTTCATCGCATCTCAGTTGCTTTAATACATGGCCATTTGTACTAGCTTCATTTAAAAATTGTTCTAAGAAAGTACATACCTCACTTTTGTGTTTCATAAAGAAAACTTTCTGATACTTACTAAAGTCATCTTTAAAACATACGTAATAACGTGCTTTTCCCAGTGATTATATAGACATGGGCCCATTCATATCTGCATGGGTCTACTTACCAGTGGCTTATGATAGATTAATCCTAGATTTGACTTGCAATCTATGCATTTTTCCAATTGCACATCCATAGTAAAAGCTTTCTTTGTACCCGTCAATGTCTATATAAATTTTTTTCAATACCTTCTTTACATGTTGCTTATGCTGATGACCAAATCTTTCATGGTACACTTGCAACATATCTGTTGACTCTGCTAAGTTTACTTGAACGGGATTTGTCGGTTTCATAATACGTATATTAAGTGCTTACAGGCCATTACTGAAGTACCCAGTCATTACAGATTCACAAGTGTTTTTATCATATATATTTACATCTTTTTCAAGTACTGTAATAAAACGCCTTTGTGCAGCAGCTTTCACAGAAAATAAATGAGCAGTTGTTTCAGGAACATAAAAAACATTCTTCAAGTCAGCACCTTTCCATTTATTATTTAGAGGCGGTTGCATTTTCACTGTTCCTTATCCATGGGCTAACATACATACATCCTTCTTACCAAGTGATATACTTTCTGGTTCAGCAAATTCTGTATAAGATGAGAAATATTGCTTATCTATAGTGATATGATTTGTGGCTTCACTGTCACAATACCATTTTCCAGCTTCAATATAATTGTTAGATGAGGCACTTAATACAACAGACAAAAATGCAGTATCATTACTTTTATTCTTATCTAAATTCTCAGCTTTTTTCATCGCACACTCTTTCGCCCAATGGCCTAATTTCTTGCATTTATGACATGGACATTTTTCTTTTGTACGATATACATTTTTCTTAGACTTCCTACTTTGGTTCTGATTGTATTTTTCTGTCGGGTAATTGCGTGCAACAAACGCCAAAGATTGTACAGTACTTTGGTCACGTAATGCAATGGTACATAATTTCTCAATCAGTAAATTCAAAGTTTGATTCTTTGATGGTATCGTGTTCCACAAATCTTTGAAATCATGAAAGCACTTACCCAAAGTTGATCAGATCTATCCATTTAACATTCTTTCGGGTAAAACATTT